GTAGCCTGAAATCTCCTGTTATTCTGGCATAACAAGGACAGGCAAAACACAAATCCCAGTTTATATCTGTTCTGAGATTAAGTAGAGGATTTCAGTCCCATAGCTATCAAATGTTAGTATAATTAAAACCAAACTGCTTCTAACAACAAATGAACAAACTCATTTTACAGGGTTCATGTCACATCTGCTCTCCAACACTATTGGTTAAAATTTCTCATTCTTATTATATAGAAATAGAAATTTCTCATTCTATCTGTACACCTCTGCCAGCTTTTTTACCTGCCACTCGATACTGCCAGCTCTTTGCAGCCCCAATTATTCCAACAAGAAACTCCACACAGGAGTGGGATGGTACATCTCTATAGTGCTGCAATACTACTGTATTGCGATAGCACCATTTTTGCCTTCTGGTTCAAAAGCATCTGTGCGGGGCTGTTCCCCTGCGATAGGGTCTACGTAAAGGGGATCTGCAGTTCAGGCCCATCACTGGGGCTGCAGTTCTGTTCACTTGCCTTTCAGCTGCTCTAGCTACATAAAAGCATCGGTGGGGAGGTGTGGAAAAAGTGAAATTCATGAAGAGCATCACGTAGACTCAGCACTTAGCTGCTTTGTAACATATATAATCCTGCTACAAATCTGCAGTCAGATCTGCATCTACTGTGGTCTGTACTTCAGAGCAGCAATGGAGAAAAAACTCTTGACTCCAAGCATCTAAATGAAGAGATGAAGAAAATTTTAACATTCCTACACAGCAGTGAAAAGGAGACCCAGCTTTTCCACTTTATCTTTTTGCACGTTGCCTCTTCCCTGTCCTAGACCTGGCACTTGCAGGGATGTAGAGAAACAAAGGAGGCTAGACTAATTCACAGGAATAAGCAGGATCAAACCCAGCCTCATAGGAATTCACAGGAGCAGAATCGAGCTCTTTCTTCTACCTCTCCTCCTCTTATAAAAGCCAGGAGGTAACCTTGTTTCCTGTATCCTGACATCCCTCATCATTTCTGTGGAGAAGGCAAGCATCCTTTCATCATATTCCTGCAGTTTCTTTAGCTGCTCTTCCTTGGGAGGCAGGGACATTGAGAAGATAAATATTCAGAGTTATTTTCTAGGGTATAAATGAGGCGGATATTGAACCTCTTGGCATTAGGAAATTAGCTCTAGCCCCAGCTGAGGTCACAAGAATTGGCAGGGCTGAACTGGAATCACTGAGACCTCAACTCTGCTTTAATTATTACCAGTAACATGAGGACAGTATTTAAAAATAAACCATTGAGTTAATCCTAGCATACTGAGGAGCTGGAGACAACTGATGAGGGGCAATTTTTGCTGCAGTTGACATGAATCAAAAATATTATGGAGATATTCACTCGGGATATGCTGTATCTCAAACTGAAGTTATAGGTTTGGTGCAGAAATGACTGGGTGAGGTTCTTTAGCCCAAGATATGCAGGAGGCCAGCCTAGATGACGATCATGATATCGTAAGTCCTCCCTTCTGACTCTAAAGTCTATGAATCAGTCGTCCACAGACCAAGCCTTTTCAGCAATTCTATTGAAGAAATCAAAATAAACTTTTGCTTTTTGCTGTGCCTTTTCTTTCCTCATTCTAACATTTTCCACATTCCCTTGACATCCCCTTATGTCTTTACCTCCTGCCATAAGGAAGAATGAAGACAGCAAAGACAGTTTCTCCTGTTTATTCACTACTTATATCTATAGTCCTGCTTCAGATAGCAAGTCTGCCGTCGGACTGCAAGGCAAACACTAGTCCTATCTCACACACGGCCAGTCTGTGAGCTGCAGTCTCCCGCAGGGCAAAAAGGGATAAGGATTCAAAATTGCTGTGCAGGATATTGGAATACTTTAGCTTTTATTAAAGCACCCATAAGAGTACTAAGGTGGAGGTTAGAATTGATTTCCAGATCCATAGTTCTGATTGGAATCAGAACTTCCCAACTCTTACGAACTATCTAGACCAGGCTTGCCAGTTCTACTCCACATGGGCATTACTCTTCAAGAAGCTAGAAATGTCTTGTCTTGAAAAAAAACATCGGACTAAAACTATTCAAGTAAAAGCCTTTTAAGCAAATAAAGTGATATGAAGCAGAACTGTGAAAAGAAAAATACCCTGGATCCTTCAAGGGTATAAAACACATAAATTGCTGGTCTGTGGCAGGCATCGGATGGCAGGGAGAATGGCCTCTAGCAGATTTTGACCTGTACAGATTGGAGATGCGTAAGAGCACATTTTGGATACTCTTTGCTCATCATATTTTGGAAATCCTCTCCCCCTTGAACACAGCATAAGCTCCTCCTGTGCGCAGTTCCTCCCGCTGGAAGATGCAGAACTTTTCCTGTGACGGGGAGTCAGACACCTGAACAAGGTGGCCAATAGTCACACAGGTGTAACTGGGGTACAGCCTGAGGCAGCCCAACAGCACACACTGTTCTTCCCTATACTCTGATAATTACTGTTTTACTAATATTTTTTCTACTACTACTACTAAAAATAATAATTACTACAGCCTTCAGAGCTTGTTACAATGCCTGTAGCCTGGTTTTGACATTCAGTGCAAACATATTGCATAGCTGTATAAATTGTTCTTGATTAAAGTTTCTTGATTAAAACCTACAGAACATTATTTTTGCAGTCATCATACCAGGATGTTGTAGCTAGCTGGCTTAACTCAAACAGTATTTGCAACAGAGTTATTGCAGAATAGAAGGAGGGAAAAGGTTTCAAGCTAGTACTTGCTCCACTGCCTTCAAGGAACAGCTGGAACTGAGTTTGTCAGTGTTGTCAACTCCAAGTTTTAAAAACAAAGCAGCAGAACCTCCTCAAACCATGCAATCTATTTCAAAAATAACAAATCTCTGAAAGTTAATTCTGAAAGTTATTTACTTGCTTCCTGGGTTTTGAGCAGTTAGGGGTCACATATGCAACCTTCTATGTCCAAGCATGCAGATGTTTTTAGAAAATAATAACACAGTGATTCCCTCATAATCCCAATAGTCCCAAAGCATTAGGAGAATGCCAAACAGTGCAACTCGTCAGTGAACTATCAACACCAGATATTGTGCAGCAGCAGCTCTCCTAAGATACGAATCAGAACAGAAACAACAGAGCTGACTACTATGCACCAAAAATACATCAGAGAAATTATGTCTGCAAGGCTAAACGGCAGTTTATTTTTCAGTATATGTACATATATCATTATTTGATTTAGCATATTATATAATCTCTATATTTTTATCTATAAATATAAATTATTTTCAAGTTGAACACTGAAATGCAGAAATCTAAGTCAAACCTTGTAAGAGATCACTGTGTTAATGTGCATTTAGCTCTAAGTATGTGTGTGAGACCTCAGGACAGAACTCAGTACTTCCAGATCTGGAATCTTGTTTCTCCCTTGCTCCCCTAACATGTAGATATTCAGCCTTTTTTGATAATGAAAACAGAATTTACTCCAGAATAAATAAATACTTCTGTTGTAACAATGAGATATCCTGCATTATTTATCTTGCAGAGTGCAGCTTGAATGCAAAAAGCTGCTGCTTTTTTTGCGTGCTCACTGGCACAAGTTGAGCAGGAAGCTCTGAGGCAATGGGCCCCTTACTAGCACCCAATACAGCTTCAAAAGCACCGTGAGGCCACAACTGTGTGGGGCTGTAAAGTACTTGCTGCTGTAACCATATAAACATACCCGTGTCACATGGGCATTCTGCTATCCCTTGATCCAAACGTAGCAGCCTGAAGCAGACCTTCCTATGACAGAGAGGAGGATAATGTAAGGGGGCTCTTGGAGCTAGAGTTCTGACTAGCCTGGGCAATAAAGTGCCAGCCTGAGCACTCTGGCAGGATTCACCTTCTCTGCTGGGAGCTCCTGTGCCTGCAGGTGAAACCCCCGAGCCCATCCCGACTTGGTCATGAGAGGCTTTCTGCAACAGTGGGGGTAAACACTGGGCTGGGACTGCTCTGGTCTTCACTACTTATCTCAGATATCTTCCAACGTCGTATCCTAGGCAAACATGTTTTTTGAAGCCTATGATACTGTTTTGCGCTTAAACCTTGTAAGTTATAGAATTAGTTGAGAATCAGCTTTCCTATCTGCTTTACAGTGAAACACCACTGGACATTCAGATGTGGATTCTCATTGCTCAACTCTCTGTTTAGCTACTGACCAGCATTTTTCACTCTCTTTTTGACAATAGTTTTTTCTCACATGAAACAATATTAAACCTAAGTTAGTCTTATTATTCTCTACTATCACCAAACAGATCAAAATTCAACTTCTCATTTTGTTGACTTTTAGCAGTAAATTGAATCTGTTTTTTTGTTCATTTTTTAAAAATCAAGCTTGACTCAGCATCAACATATTGGCTAACAAGAGCTTGTAAATAGGCCAGTGTATACAGATGAAATTAAAGCTTTTTTATATTTTACTTTTTATTAGTTATAGGTAAGTGGAATGATTTTTTGACTAATGGCTATGAAATATATTGCCTTGTGACTCATTGGGAAGGAAGAGTAAGGTTCTGCACAAAACTTCTAATAAAGTATCAATGTCTCTTTTAGCCAGTTATAGCAAATGGTCCCTCAAGTATGCCACTAATCTACAGCATGACATTTGCCTTTCATTTCCTCAAATGATGCAAAGATATAAATACACAGGGCATCCTTAATTTCCCTTGCCCACCTACTCAGATTTTGAATGACAATTTTGATTGACAAATATATTACATCAGTGAAACAGCATTCCTGAGATGAAAACTCAACCTTTATCCTCATGGACATCAGCTCATCATAACAGAATTGATGCTCACACTGGCATCCAAACCCCTGGCAGACAACGCCATCTTGTCTGTGCTGCTTGTGGCTTCACAAATCTGAGGTACAGAGGATAAGCAAGAAAATCTACAATAAGAACGGGCAGACAGACAAACGACAACTGAATAACTCAAGGAAGACGGAGAGAATTTCGAAGCCTTCCCTCTTACCAGCTGAATCTGCTGCAGATGTTCCACCACTTGTCAAGTCCTCGGTGTTGATGGACTGCAGGTCTACGTAGGAAGGAGCAATGCTTGGGCTGCTGGTGTCCTCCGAGTTGGTTGTCCAGCTGCTCTCTGAGGCACGAGCTGGTCTCTCAGAAGAGTCAGAGGAGGGGGAAGTCCAGCTGGGTGCTTTTGATGGGGACACAGGAAAGAAACAGGCATCAGTGATGGACTCACCAGAGCCATCTGGCAGAGGTGGAAGATCACAGCTACGTGTGCAGGGGCAGGTCGCAACTATTTACGGTAATGGCAGATATGCTCTGTCACAGCACTGAGACCCTGTAAACATAGATTCCACATCCACACAAACATAGTTATTCTAGAAAAAAACCACAGTAATTTAACTACCCTCCGCTGCGTGGAATCAAAACAACCCAGCTGTCTGTCTTGGATCCCACACTGCTGACAGCTCCAAGTTTTCCTGTTATTCAAGTATTTTAGAAGCTGCGGCTTTTCAGAGCAGGAAAATTCCATGCTTCTGCCACTACTAACGAGATCTGAATATCTGTATTGTGCAGCACAGTTGGATTCTTATACCATCATAATTTTTATAAAGTGGCTTTATTATATTTAATTAAGCATTCCCCATCTGTACCACCCACACAAATGCAGTAGTCATTTTAAGACAACTTACCAGCAGTAATAGTATAAGATGAAAGTGACCTACTGATGTGAACTAAAAATGGCTTTTATTTCTGAACTGGTGCAGATGCAGGATAGAGTACCCCTATGAATAAGTTGCATGAAATTTCTGTTCGCTTTAGGTCAAAAAACTTGTTCTACTCACTGGTCAGTGTCAAGTGCCAAAACCCAACTCCTGCCCCAGTCCCACCGTCCAGAGCGATGAAACAATCCTACCCACCCACCCCGCTGAGTTTCTATAGTAGACTCTTTGACCACATCATCGCTTGAATGTCAGGAGCAATGAGTGATTCTAGTAAAGAAGTTAAATAAATGATGTAGGGAGGCTGTGTTGGTAGAGACCAATTCTAATTTGATCTCAGCGTAACAACTCTCTTTTTCAAATGATTACAACCTGCGTTTAGCTTCTAAATCCACCGAGATCTCAGTGCATCTCTTACATTTATGGAATAAACTGTGCTACCGAGGTTCTTTACTCAGCACATAAAACCTAACCAATTCTTATTAGATCAACTGATACTTTGGAAGACAACAGCAGATTAGTGTTAAGGAGGATTTATCTCTATCTACTCATAGTTTAATCGAAACAGTGAGATCGGCCTTCATGTAATTATGGCAACATACCTAGCTTGCTGTTTGCATAGCGGGGCTACACAAACAGTGCTCCCTGCCTTGCCAGTTCAGAAATGTAAATTTATTTTATTTAGCCGTGCTGTTACCCTCAGGTAAGCAGACACTGATTTATTTATATTTGCACAGCTGTGACCACTGTACTGACCTGTTTTTAAGTAGAATCATACCTAAGGATGAGGAAGTTAGGTGAGTTCTCTCCTTAGGTTGACAATTGTTGAGTTAGAGTGATATGACCAAAAACCCACCTATCTCCCCAGTAACTTTGCACTGCATTATGCTTAAGACAGAGTGCCTAGAAAGAAATGATGACAAGTGTGTGATTGTAATCTGCCCAGTTCCTCCCTCAGCACTTTTGTTAAACATACATAAGGCATCTGAAAATCAGCCTTAAACCTTCACCTGAAATTATTTTGACAGCTGAAATGCTTTAACTGGACATAGAAGACAAGCTTAAAAACTGAGCTCCTCATAGGAACCAGTGGCAAGTAAATTTTCCTAAGTGTACTTTGTACTGGTCCCCTATAGTAAGTCAATATTCTAGGTTCATCAACACTGAAACTCACAATTAGTGAAACTATTTTTACTCCTCTTGTGTTGAATAACTACCACCAATCTCAAAAAAAAAGAAGAAAAAAGAAAAAAAGGCAAGAAAAAAAGAAAAAAAGGCAGGAAAAAAAGAAAAAAGGCAAGAAAAAAAGAAAAAGGCAAGAAAAAAGAAAAAAAGAAGAGAAAAAGAAAAAAAAGATGAAAAAAGGAAAAAAGGTGAAGTAAACATCTACACATTTCAAACTCTCCTCAGATATTTCTTGCCACTCTCCAGTCTCTCAAAATTGAAGCAACAGAATTCCTAAATGAAGTAGTTTTTTTCCTTAGGATTTTAGAACTTAATCTCTAATGTTTCTACATGCAAAGTCAAGGCCTTTCAGTTGCAGGAATTCTCAGAAATCTGTGTTGAAAGACCACTGACAAAATCTACTCCAAAATGCAAACCCTGTACTGTACAGGGTATATATAAACCCTGTACATGCTGCAAATCAACTTGCTTCCCAAACTGAAATATACGTTTCTCTCCACTTGCACTTTACTTTGTTTTCTTGGTGTATTTGTTCATGGTACATTGGAGTGTTTTTTAATATGCAGAGTTATCTTTAAGCATTCATTCTTTTGCTGTTTTGGGGACCTCTTCCTTGATCCCTAGTGAATTACAGTAGCCCCTGTTAGCATCAGCATCGTCCTTTCTTGTCACCTAGCACTTCAGATTGCTCCACTTTTAGGACAGCACCACCATTTGCCTAGTTTTCATCTACTGAATTTTTGTGTGGCCTTACCTCCTGTTTTCAGCCAGAACCCCACCGAGCAGTTAAACAGAGATCTGCCTTGCTGTGGGAGAGCCTCCCAAGGGACGTGGTAGGAGTCCAAGTTACTTGAGCCATTTAAAACGAGACAAAGCTCTCGGGAAGGAGGGGGGTGGAACAGATGATGTAATAGATCTTGCCTGGCTCTAATTTTGGTGCTTTGCTGAATACCTCATTGAATTCAAGACCGCAGCTAACAACAGTAGAATGTGAGATCGCTCGCTGAAAGACCATTGTATAACAAATGCAAATGTTATGTCACCTCTTGGTTGCAGTTCTTTAGAGCTTGTGTAACATTTCTGATAGGAACGTTTGGGCAATTCTATTTTTTTTTTTTTCATTTTTGTAGTATCAATTTAGGCGAGCCTGATAAGAACTATGAAAAAAATACCGATTTTCTTATTTCTCCACCAAAAGGAGAATCAACAAAAGGATATCAGAATGCATAATTTCTGTGACTAAATATATCTGAGGCCTTACTTAAGAGTTATTGATTCCCAGGGAGAAATCCTCATCAGTTAGCAGCTGTCAGTTATCTGCTGATGATCCTGAAAAGGATAAGTATTTGGAAGGAAAGATTTTTGCTAGCATTTATGCTGGCTGGATTTGGTAGAATTAAGGGTTTACAAGTGTTTTCTGAACAAAGGTAATTTCTATGAAGCTCAAAATGTGCATCATCTTCCATTTCTACGCCTCATGCTTTAACCTCATTCTCTCCTTCTGAATTCTTTGTTTACACTCTGAGTCCTATCTCTGGCTACCAGTCCCATTGATTTCTGCTTTTTCAATAAGGTCTCCACTTTCCTCAGTGAAACAAAGGCCCAGCATTAGACTTGCTTTTCTTGTAAAAGTATTTCCTATAAGGAAAAAAAATGCATTGGTGCATCGGATTCATTTTTTAAAGTGCTTATTTTTTAGATTGTAATCATTTGGGGAGAGAGACACTCCTTCCAGTGAATCTGTGCAAAAAGATATGGGTCTGAACAAGACAACGTTTCTCTCTCTCGCGGCCTCTCCAATTTGTCCTTAAGATATTCTGGAAATGCCATTCTGTGAGCCATTTTCAAAATGTGTTTTCAAGCAGCCTGGCCATCACTCTGGGTAACTGTCTAGCCAGCTCTGCAGCTGCTTCAGCGTGGAAGGACACGCAGACGATTTCCCAACAGTGCTGGAGCCCTGACAGGAACCTGGCTGAGGCGCTGAGTCCTCAGGACATTGCTCCTTGCAGCTGCTTGCCCAGAAAATACCTTTCTCTGCTTCTCACTCCAGTGTGTCTGCTGATACTCAGTACTTTTACCCTGCCCCCATAACTGTCTTCTTGCTATTGTTCTTCTGTGGGCTGTTTGCTACTGGAAATGAATGATGCTGTCACCATAGGCTCTCCACAGAGCGTGTCAGTGATGGTGGCGGTAATAGAAAAGCTCTGGCTTTGTGGCTGCCCACAGAGGAAAGATGTGACCTGCAAATTAATTGAAAACAACAAGGCTGAAGTTTATCCTACTTCTTGCTGTCAAAAGCCCCCCAGGGCAGACGGGCAGACAAAGCCCTGCCATTCACTGTGCTCTGTGACCTGCCCTTTACAGGTTGTCAGCTGCACTTTTTCTAGCAATTTAGAAGATGGGCTCCAGAATAGGCATGAGGTTAGCTCACAAATAAGTCTTTTAAGGAAAATGATATTCACATCGCTTCATTTCAGAAGTCTCCTTAGCTCTACTTAGCTCTAACAGAGGGGAAACAGGCTCCTATGCAAGGGTTATAAAGCATAATAAAAGCAAGGCTCCTGGAAAGGAAGGAGACATGCCTTTCTGAAAAGAAAAGACACTGCGTCTCTACTGCTGTTCAATCCACCAACTAGTGTTAGTTCAACTCAGAAATAAGTTATGAACCTGTTCCGAAACTCTCATAAGATTCTGAAACTCCATAAGATTAACTGTGCTAAAATACAACACAAACTAGCCAAATTCGACCTTTGAAAAACAAAGAGCAAGGAAAAAAAAATCCAGGCCCTCACTGTATTCTGTGACATTATCAGAATGGACCTTCTCATGCATGCACCTCACCTGCTCGTGGTTGTCTTGCTGGAGCACTGGTCCATGGCGCATCTTCAAACTGCACCCAAGCACTGATGGACGATGAGAGATCCGCTCTGGGAGACACATGGTTCCCAAGCACAGTAGAATCCGTCTTGGGCTTTTCCACTCCATCATTCAGATTATTGTGGGAGAGATCCTGGAATTCTCCATCCACTTTATGGTACTCTTCTGAGGAGGTGTCTGAGGAAGAAAAACATTTTTCCAGAGGCTCCTCAGTGCTACCTAAAAATAAGGACAGAATAGAGAGATGGGTAGCAATTACCATTACTTAACTTCGTTTTTTACTGAAGTCTCTAAAATTTGCAGTTTAATGTTGGTGCCAAGTTTTCAATCACCTCATGTAGATTTTAATTTTTACAGTGGGCTTAGTTCGCACTTAATAAATGAGACTTTCTCTATGGTCCTTTAGACATTACCCTTTATAAGCAAGTACAGAGTCAAAGCCTATGCCTATAACGGACCTTTAAAAACAACAACAAAAAAACTTCGCATAAGGATAGCGTTTTACATTTTTCCCCAAATTCTCCCATTACATAGGAGTAGCAGGAGATAATTCAAGCTCTATTCATATTGCTTCCTCTAATAAATCAGGGTCTGTGATGCTAAATACATGACAGTATTTGGGCTAATTTACATTAAATAAGTTTTAAAAGCTTCAGAAAACAAACAAACAAACAAACAAACAAAAAAAAAAAACGAGTGTCTTACCTCGTGGTTTAACAGGGAGGAGCAGGTCATCATTGAAAGACACCCACTCAGATTGGTGGGAAGCAATGACACCAGTCAGAGACGTCATATTCGCAAAAGGCTCCTCATCTTCCCTCAGTGCTTAGAAGGAGCGGTCAGCACAGGAGAGGCTTTGGTGAAGACGAGACAGGAGAGGGGAACACCTCCCTTGTGCTATCCTTTCTTCATTGTTCAAATGCTGTTAAGATTAAAAAAAAAATCAGAAAATTAAACTGAAAAAACGAATGCTGCCATTCCAGGACTACGGACTATTAAAACACTTTCATTACAACAGGCACAGGACTGCCAAAATGCTGCTACCTTTGAGACAGGAAGGTTACCTGGTACAGAAGAGGGCTACATCAGAGCAACTCTTTGAAGATTAGGATGTTTACAGAGCCTTAGATGCTTTCATCAATCACAGAAAACAATGTTTCATTACTAACTCCAAGATCCACATCTCACATAACTCTGGGAAACAGACTCTGAAGGGATTCTCCCAAAACTAGCAAATTTTGATAATGATGTAATTTATTCCAATTCCCAAAATGTCATCGTGTCCTCATCCCTCTTGCTATTTAAAATGTCTGATATCTCTTGAGAACCAGCAATAATCTCTGTTCCTCAAAATCAATAAAACGTATGTAGCCAGATCTGAAATTACAAGCAACGTGGTTAGCAGAACCAATACTTTCATCGTACAAATTTACTACCGAAAGCTTTGAATCTCCCCAACAAAGATGTGCATTTCAAAGGTATTCCTGTCTAACAAAAAATTGAAAATAAAAAAATAAAAAAAAATCAGAGTATAACCAGAAAATTTACAAGTTAATAACCTGATTAAATTGATTAGCAAGATTAGTGTAACCATGTGAGGAAGGTAAACACAGGAAAGAGCCTTATGCCAAGTAGAGGATCATAATCTAGAAAACAATACCTGAAGGATAGGCTTGTCTAGGACTCAGAGGATCATAATCTAGAAAACAATACCTTGGCTTGTCTAGGACTCCGATTGCAGTCCAAGTATTAAAAGATGCCCTGTCAGCTAGCTGCACTTTGATGCTTGAATAGCATTTCACATTTTAGTTTTAAAAATCAGTGCCTTCTTTATATCTTCCATGTAACTGAGTGCGATTTTGCTGTTACACAGCAAACATTTTCAAAGAAGTAGCAAGTTTAATTAGGGTGTACTCCGAGAGGATGAACCTCACATAGGCCTGATAATCTGCTGGAATTAGCAAAAGGGTCTGATTGCTGGCCGAGAGCTTGGAAGGCCAGGCCTGGGGAGAGGATGTGTCCTTGGACCAGCATTCAAGACATGTTTGCAGCTCGCTGGAAACTCGCACAAGACGACAGCCTCCTCCCAGGCAAGTGTGTGAATTCTCTCCCTAATTATCTGCAATACTGAAGCTCTTGTTGCCATGGTATCTAAGTACTTGAAAATACTAACAAGCTCAGACTTGGCTATTTTAATGATGTATAAGTGGCATCTCTTGGCCTACTACATCTCACCTAATTTAATGTTTGTCTGGTAAAATTTCATGGTGGTTTAAAGGAACAGATATTTTATTGAGGTATCTCTTTACCCTAAATAGGTAACATCAAGCCCCACAGAGCAGAACAACATTTAAATGTGTTTATCCTTTAATTATTTTCTGCAAGAAACAGAAGACCATTAACTAACGCCAAAACGATTATCCTCTTTGGGCCCACAAAGTTATTAGCCTGCTAAAGGTAGGTCAGCAAACAAAAGCTGTGTGAAAGAGCTGAACATCTCTTCAGCCTGGATGTGACACCTGGCAGAGAGGATTCACAGATCCAAGTTAATTGCCTGCAAGCTGACAGCTGGACCTCTTCAACCAGAACGTAATGTAAAATATACAATTTCCTGCAAAGGGGAAAATGATTTTGCCAGGACAGCTCGGACTGCTAGGTGCAGTTTGCCAGGAGAAGGTTGATCCCGTGTCGGCTCCGTTGCCGCAGGCCGCCGGCCCCTTCCCTGCTCCCTCGTCGAGGCTGGAGGCCTGGCCGCAGGCCCGGGCACACGGGGGGCTCGCGCTGTGCGCGGGGACCTCTGCCCGCTCGCACAGGAGCCTTCGGCCTCTAGCAATAGCAACTACCCCTACTAACAAAGCTCAACAGGGACGAGCGCGCACAAAAGGAACAATCAGATGTTCAAAGTCACAGGGACACTATATGAGGGGGGAAGAGGTCAGCCTTGATAGTTTGCTTTCCCCATGTGACCAATTAAGCTGCTTGTTTTTGTCTTGTTTAAATATCTGTAACTTCAGTCTTTTTTTCCTAGACATCTGAATGGTGACCTCTCCCCATTCTGCCGGAAAAGTCCTCACAGAAGCATGAAAGGACAGGAAATGAAAAAACAAAACAGTTTATCTAGTGCTTGGCGCACAAGGACTCCAGTAGAGTGGGGTTTTGTTTTGTTTTCCTTTTAATGTCCAAGGTAAAAGCCTTAAAAAAAAAAGTCTGTTCCAGATGTGCTATTAGGTGGGAGATTTTTACCATTATTTTAATTTCTGTTTTCACTCTGACATAAGCACATTTTCTAAAATCAATCAAGTACTAAGCAACCAAATGTCGTTGTTTAGAATACCTGATTAGAGTTTTATTTGTTCTGTTTCATTTGATTTGCTCCCAAGTTTGAATGCTGATGCCACCATATGAGGAATGACTACTCCTAGGTGGATTTCCAGATCCAGCTTGCTAGATGCAGTCTTGGGTCATGGTGTACCCATTTGTATAGCATATACAGAGACCACCTGCCTTAATATGCAGTGAGCAGTATGAGCCCAGGAAAGCATCAGAGAGCAGCACAAAGGGCACCATTAAGTGCATTTTTTAAGTATATGACCTTACCACTGCTAGAATTTTCTACAGACTTCCCAGTTTGGTATATGATGGAGAGTGTGATGGTTTATTACCAGGGTTATCATGACTTTTCAGAGAGTAACCTGAAAGAAAGTAAAGTCAGCCTGAGCAGACCGCACTGCCAAAGACTTTCAAAGCAGAGGCAATCTGAGGATGCACTTGTTAGGATGAAAAATAAATAAATAAATAAAAGGACAGAATTTCTCTCAGGTTTTCGCAGTGCCTAATCTAACTCAACAACCTGATGTAGATACTTTTACAGAACAGTGAATCATGTATAGTTAATTCCTTTGAAGACTGTGCAGAAAGAGCTACACAGCTTCAACTTGAATTACTTTTACCACTTTTCACATTCTGGATCCTCCACAGAAAACCAAACCAACCCAGCTGTCAGCCAAGGAGGCCTAGTGAACAGGATACCAATGTCACTGTGCTGTCAGTTAACAAAATGATGCTGCAATTCGCTGAGTTAGTAGAGAAGTGCACATCTCTAGGGAATCCATTTGACTCTGGGGAAAAACTCCAATCTTTAAGCAAAGCAACCAGCACCCACTGTTGAAATGGAAGCACCCTCTCATTTCAGAGCTACATGAACTCACAGCCAGTTCACTGTCATTGCTTTTGTGACAAAGTTTTCTCTCTCCTCTCCTTTTTTTACTCCTGTTCTATTAACAGATACAAACAAATAGCACCATCCTTCCGATCATGGATTTTGCTGTAACAATCCCAAGTTTGACTAATACTAGGAAGATGTCAAGGTAAAACATGTAATTTTTATCTTGACCATGTCTGTTTTGCAAACCTGTAGAGACAAAACAATTCTAATAGCGTAAACTACAGAATAATTGCTGCCTTGGGCAGATTTCCAAGTGAGTGAGAGCTCATGGTTCTTTCTTTCAACTTGGCCCACAACAAGCACTGACCATCAGCACATTATGACCTGAATAATAAACAAAGTCCAATTTGGAAACCTGCTCTGAAGCATGAAAAGAAAATCCTAACTATCTCAGGGTACAACAGGAAAAACAAACACCACCATGTTAAAATAACTCGAAAGAAACCCAATGAAATAAAGGAACTGGATTTGAATTTCGTTATTACTGAAAAATCATTGCACTAGTCTCTACCTAAATGCCTGAGATGAGATTATCTCTAAGTTTATGAAAGACAGAGATGAGGAAAGAAATCATATTCAATTATTTTACATTGTGTTTTTGATATTGAAGACCATATTTTCGCCATGTGTACAGGCTCCCCGCTCATAAACTGCCCCTCAGAGAAAATTTCTGTTTACAGCAGATTTTAGAACTTACTTTTGTTCACTCTGATTTACATGTGTTATTATTTCAAGTTCCTTGATTTCAGCATTGCCCTAGTAGGATCAGTCACTGTTTAGTGCATGTACTACTCATCTCTGTGAAAGCTATTGATACACAGGGAAGAATCAGGGCTCCAAGGGACCTAAACTGATCCACTCACAAGGGATCCTCTGGCCTCTCTGGAAGATTTGCCTGTTACAGCTGGCTCCTAAGTGAACAGCAATGACAGCCTCAGCAGCACTCTGCACACACACCCCTAGAGTATATTATTATCCCCTGGCATTGAGGATAGTAATGGCAATTTTAGACAGAGATGAAGCAGGCAGAGTAGGGCCATCTGGCATATTGGATGACAGAAAAGTGCTTGGGGGTGTCCCTGAGGACAGGACCCAGTCACAGTGGCTAATGGCCATGCCCAGTTATTCCTACAGATAGGAAACCATCTATCTAAACCTACACTGCCAATCAGTGACGGGAGCAGCTAACACTAGAGCTGATGTGTTTAGGGATGCCTGTGTTTTCTCGGGATCACGAAACCTCCAGCAGCCAAACACAAAAACCTGCCTCACAGATGTGAGAAGTGCACGTTTAGCGACAGTAAGAAAAGAGCCCATGGGTGATGTGTGGATAAGACAGTGATAAGCGTCTCCGCCAGAAAGATCTGTGTCAAGGCTAATATCCGAAAGGTCAGCAGCTGCTGTTTTCTTTACATCATGATTTGTCTGTCACAGGAGCTCCTCTGTTTTCCAGACAAGAGACAGGACACCTATATCCTCTCTTGCAGACAGCACTGGGATGTTTAGGGAGGTCAGAAGGCAATGCTCTCTCTTCTGCTGAGGACACGCTTTAGAAACACTCCCCGAGTTCAGAAGGCCTCGTTAACGAGAAGCTATCAGATAAGA